AACACCTTGTAGATTTACTTACGTCTATAATATTTGAAGTGGCTCGACCGATTTCGAGCTACTACACGGCTCACAATATTCGGGGTGATCGACACTAATGATTTTGTCGCGACGACGCTCAGTCTCATCGAACAATATCCTCAAGTTAGTCATGTATGTGAGTAAGCCACATTACCTAATATCAAAACCTTTATTAGGTTAAGGTAGCCATATTTCTTATTGACGCTATTATTTTTATTTAATATAACATAACATAACACCTTTTATCCCTGAAGGGGTAGGCAGAGGTGTACATTATGGGCTACGGCACTTAACCTTTTGAGTACAGTCATTAGAGACACAATTAAAGAACAATAGGTTGCGGTCACCGGTGTCCTCGCGGTGTTTGACAATTTAATGCCCCTGTACAATGTAACACCCACTTTTCACTATTTATGTTATGGGTCCCATGTAATAGGAGGTGAGCCTATTGCCATATACCGGGCAAAATTCCAGACTCTGTGCTACTTTGCCCGACCCGGGAATTAAACCCGAGACCCCTTGCCCGGCAGTCGCAATTGCGACCACTCGGCCAACGTATTAGTCATTATGTATTATTATTTAGTATTTTTATTTATTAACTCTTTAATGCACACAAAGATATGAAGGCATACGGCATGCCATATGGCATTTTCTCCCAGTCAACCTTTGGGTTAAATATAGAATCAGCGAAAATAGGCTTGTGTAATATGCAAAAAAAAAACAAAATAAATAACTTATAATTATTATAAATACTGTATAACATAATGCATAAAAATCTTATACTATTACCTCTATATAAAGCGGAAGAGTTTGTTTTTTGTTTCTTTATTTGAACGCGCTAATCTCCGTAACTACAAGTCTTATTTGAATAATTCTTTTTGTGTTGGATAGCGCATTTATCGAGGATGGCTATAGGCTATAAAACATCACGCTACAACCAATAGTAGCTGAGCAGAGCGTGTGAAACCGCGCGGAAGTAGCTAGTCTATACTAATATTATAAAGAGGAAAGATTTGTATTTTTGTATGTTTGTAATGAATAAACTCAAAAACTACTGAACCGATTGCAATATTTTTTTCACCATTCGAAAGCTGCATTATTCAGAAGTAACATAGGGTATATAATATCACGCTAGGTCCTATAGTTGTGGAGCAGTAACCAAAAATGTTTTAAAAACGGGGGAAAAGTATCGTTTCTGAGGCCTTCCGTGGCGTGCGCTGAGCATATAGTTAAAGTTATACAAAAATGTTCTATAGATGAATTGTTTATCTTAACATTATTTTTAAAAAAGTCCGCGAGAGCATATGTCTACCTTTTATAGAAGTTTGCTCTAGATAACTTTTGAATTGTTCAATCGGTTACCTTAAGACGCGATATCGACAACGGAGGGCAGGTCGCTAAAAAAAACTGAGAATAAATATAAATAAAACGTAAAACTATGTAAAAAATCTTAAGTCCCCCCGTGCGAAGCCGGGACGGGCCGCTAGTATATAATAAATACAAAATATATACATAAATAGCTATATACCTTATATAATTATAATATAATATAATTGACGAAGACACAGCTCAGCGTTTTAGCGCTTTTAATAAGCCCCTTATTTTAAACACGCATTTTTATAAGTATTTATATTGTTAAAGCAATGCCAATGTTAAGTTAAACGGCCACCGCAGGCGCGGGCCTGCGGACGGCGAGCATGGGTGGCTCCCCGTCCGACCAGAAACAGACCCGAGCTACGGTGCCGAGCGTTCCGCGCGCGCCTCAAAGAGCCATCAGACCGCCACAGATGGGGCCCAATAGGGTCGATGCCGATTCGGAGTCGCGGAGAACCTAACGGGTAACCGGGGCTCCGGCTCGACGTGCAGGAGAAGGAACGGGATGGTTTTTAGTCAGTAAGAGTCTGACACTCCTTTCCGCCTCACCCAGGCGGGAGCAGTCATTCGATGATTTTCCCCCGTTAAAAAATAATGATGTTTAAGTTCTAAAACTTATTTTGCACAAATATTTTTCTAGTTAATAATGGTCACTTGTAAACAACAGTATCTACTTTAAGTCGAATTTTATATACTTAATTATATTATAGTGTTAATTGCTAAAAAAATATATCTACAAAAAGACTGATTATAATATTTATTTTAAAACGAATGTTGTTCCGTTTCTATACAATTTTGATCTAGATATGAAACGAATAAATGTTAGAGAATAATCATTGTTGTGTTATTTTTCAAACCCCTTTTGTCCCTTTTTAATGGGTAAGTAAACAAATAGGAACTTTGGATTACAATAGCCACAGATTGTAGGAAGGAGGTAGGTTGACAGGAAACAGTGGTAAGTGTTGGAGGAGGCCTTTCAAAGTCAAAGTCAAAGCATTTATTGCAATTAAACCATTTTTTTATAGCATAAGCCAGTAAACAAGCAGACGGATCACCTGATGGTACGCAATCGGCGCCGCCCATGGACACCCGGAACACCAAGGCGTTATAAGTGCGTTACCGGCCTTTTGGGGATTGGGTATTTTAGGATTGTGGAGGATTCGGGTATTCGGGAGACGGGGACTAGGGAGGGGGGTAACGGGTAATTGGGTCTCCGGTAATCTCACTCACACGACGAAACACAACGCAAGCGTTGCTTCACGTCGGTTGTCCGTGAGGCCGTGGTATCACTCCGGTCGAGCCAGCCCATTCGTGCCGAAGCATGGCTCTCCCACACTTAATTCGGTACTTTTGAAACGTCAACAAATACAAAATAAATAATAGTCTGTCAGTCAGTCCGTCAGTGAAGCTAGGTGAAGCTAGGTGCTCATTCCAAAACCTAGCACCTCTAGTGTTGCGTGTGTCCATGGGCAGCGATAGCTTACTAAACCAACAACCTTCCCTTAAGCTCTCGCGCGTCTCTCGTACACACGGGAAAACGTGCGTTCTTGTACACACGGGTAGATGTTAATAGAACAGCGAATTAACTATTCTATTCAATCAAATAAAGAACTATATTACCCGATATTATAGGGTGCGGGTTCGAGACCTGCCAACGGCTAGTACCAATGTGACTTTTTTCGAGTTCTAAGATTATTTAGACACCACTGACAAAGAAGGTAAAGGAAAACTGCACTGTTGCACGTGTGACTGCACGGTTGGTGCGGTGGCTGGGCAACCGGCTGCCGTGCAACGTGTCGCGGGTTCGATTCCCGCACGGAACAACACTTTGTGTGATCCACAAATTGTTGTTCCGGGTCTGGGTGTCATTGTGTATATGTGACCTTGTATGTCTGTAAACGCACCCACGACACAGGAGAAAATCCTAGTGTGGGGCAACGTTAAAAAAAAAAACATCGTGAGGAAACCTCGGCTTATAATTTCTAATTATAAGTTTGAAATCGCCAATCTGCATTGAGCAAGCGTGGTGATTAATGCTCAAACCTTCTCCGTGTGAGAAGAGGCTTTGCTCAGCAGTGGGCATTTAAAGGCTGTTGATGAAGATGATATAAATTCTACTGCTTGTACTAAAACCATGGTAAATAACAACTAGGTACTACATTTTAAACTTGCATAGCATACATTTTGTTGTGTTATTATTTTCCGTTACCTAATATTTTGAGATAACACTTCATCTGGCTTTCCCAGGAATGCGGGCAAACGTATAATGTCAATATATTTTACCAGATAGGTACAAAATAATTAGGTAAATAATTAAGGAATACTGAACTCTATATCCAACTGTGGTGGTCCAGAGGTTTAAGACGGCAGCTTCACATGCACGAGCGTGGTTCGAAACCTACCAATGATAAGTACCAATGTGATTTTTTCCGAAACTTTACACTTGGGGGGAAAATCATCCAATGACTTGTCCCGCCCGGATGAGGCGACAGGGAGTGTCAGACTCTTACTGACTAAAAACCACCCCGTTACTACACCGTCTTCTTCTCGTCTCTTTTTTGAGGGGGGAAGAAACTTTACACCTGGGTGTGGTGTGATTGTCAATAAGGGTCTGATGATGAAGTAGTACGTTAGTTGAGGGAACTCCTCAGCAGTTACCAGTAGTTACCTCGTGTTTGGGTTTGATTAATTTGTATTGATGAGAACTTTACACCTAGGTGGAGTGCAATTGTCAATAAGGGTCTGATGATGAAGTAGTACGATAGTTGAGGGAACTCCTCAGCGGTTACCAGTAGCTACCTCGTGTTTGGGTTTGATTAATTTGTATTGATGAGAACTTTACACCTAGGTGGAGTGTAATTGTCAATAAGGGTCTGATAATGAAGTAGTACGATAGTTGTGGGAACTCCTAAGCGGTTACCAGTAGCTATCTTGTGTTTGGGTTTGATTAATTAAGATCACTTAGACACCATTGACAAACGATGAAGAAAAACATCGTGAGGACTTCTGGGCTTATAAGTTTGAAATCGACAACCCACATTTAGCAAGCGTGGTGATTAATGCTTAAACCTTCTCTGTGTGAGAAGAGGCTAAAGCCTCTTGTTACCCTTGTCTGCGACATTATATTATGATGAATGAAGATTAAAAAAGCAAATGACATCTAATTTTGTGTTTAAATTGGTTCGTAAAGGATAATGAGTTGAAAAAAACGGGTTGTTCAATAAATAAAATAATTTATTTAATTTACCTTACATAATATTTACAATATATTAGGAAATAGGAACTTATTTTTTTTGTCTTATGGCACATTCACAGAAAAAATATATTCTGTTTTAAAAATAGGAACTTTTTACATTTTTTTTTTTATAAATTAATCTTAATACCTAAGAATAAATGCATTTTTATCCGGCACAAGACCCAAATACTTATATTCGAAAGTGGAAAAGAACAGAAAATCTCGTTTTCTTCCCACTTTTACATTTTTTTACTTTTACTTTAATTTATTTGTTGGCTCTTTTTCTTATTTAACATTTTTATTAAAGCTATTTTTTTTTTTTGGTATTTTCACCTCACTTACAATATTTTTTAGTCTTTTGTGTTTAAACTTAAACTACATCAATCTTTTCCGCTTTATCGTCGTGGACTCCAGCTAGAGCGTCCTTCACCCATGGCAGATACACGGCGACATTCGTGTAGATACCAGGAGAGCCTTTAGTTCCACAGTGGCTATTCCCAGCACTGGTCACCCCCCATAATTCGGCTCTTCCTTCATATCGGACTAGTGGACCACCTGAATCACCTCTACAAGTGTCAATGCCTTCTTCACCTCCAGCACAGATAGTGTTCTCAGGAACGACTAGAGTGCTGTACGCAGCCTTGCATTCAGCTCTTCCCCACAACGGTAGGGGGATGATTTTCTTCGTAGTGCTGTAGTACCCTTGAATGGGAATCTCGCCCCATCCCGTAGCAGCGAACATTGTGCCCGATTGAAGCTCGCCCGTTGGCAGACAAATTGGTCGGATGAAATCTGTGACAAATAAAAATAAACTTAAATACACAATTTAGAGAACACAATTTTCCTTTATCTTATAGATTTATTCTGTCTCTGTTTCATGAAATGCAATATTAAACCTTAATGTTATAAGAATAGAATCCTTACCGGTATAAGGTGCATCCTCTGCAAGCTTCAGAACAGCGATGTCATTGCTTTTTCCATCGTACTTTGGATGGACGATGACCTTCTCCACATCTATTCTGACAATCTTGTCAGTGCAGATCCCATCAACGCAGTCCTCGACTTTTGACAAGTCATACTCGCCAAGACGAGCCACTATTCTAGAAAAAAAGAGAACGCAAATGATAAAAAAAAAGATCTAATTTTAAAAAGAAATATAAGTCTAAGAAATTAATGGAACAAATATGGCAGAATGAAGAAAATTAAAGTTAGAATTAACATGTGACATTAATATTATATAATATTATAACGATGCAATTAAACCCGCCAATTTCCTCATAATTACGCTTAACAACAAGAAATTGTGCTTATTAAATTTTATAAATTACAATTACAACTGCATTACCTACCATGTTAAATAATATTACCTAATAAAATTTAATCTTTTAACCTACGCGTTGCTCGGTATTTCCGAAACCGAGATAGTTATAATTAAAATAATGTAAAAGGTAACTTGATTCACTATATATTAGTTCCAATTATGGTACTGGTAAATCCGTATGACGACATCTATATGCAAGTTATTGATTAGCCTAACTGATACAATTCAAATTTAATTTTTTATTGCATTATATCATGTGTACAATTGGTGTTACATAATTGGGTACAATTTCAATATGAAACCCGGTTAGGGCACGGCAATATATAGAGCAAAATATTATCTAATTAATTTACTATAACATAAAAAAGGTATCTAAACATTAAAACATTTTTCCTAAATTTATTATATATGATATGGTCTAAAGCGCGAGTTATTGTGGTTTATTTATTACTAGCGACCCGCCCCGGCTTCGCACGGGTGAAATGTGCATGTATTATACGTATTACTTCCTAAAGAATCACTCTATCTATTAAAAAAAACCGCATAAAAATCCGTTGCGTAGTTTTAAAGATCTAAGCATATGTAGGGGCAGACAGACGGCGGATAGCGACTTTGTTTTATACTATGTAGTGATTATATCATGAAATTACTAGAGACATTATAAGATAAAATTTTTACTTTTTGGAAAAAATAAAAATTAAAAAACAAAAAATAGTAGGTCGTGTTACAAAATCTCTGCATACATAGGTATGTAAGAAAATTCGCACCACACACAGGAAGGTAAATAGTATTGACGTCATGGGAAAAATGTGACGTCCCACAACATTGATAGGTTTTTGTCTTAAATAGCGTAAACAAAAATTAATGACAAGGACAAAATATAAAAAAAATATTTTATACCAAGCTTGGGACAAATATAAAAGTAAAAAATATTTTGTACCAAACTTGGGACAAATTAAAAAAATCATTTTTGACTCTTACCTGGTAAATTTTGGGGTCCTGATGCAATGGGCTGCTGTGATGATGTGTCTGCTATCTACCAGGGTAGCAGCACACCTCACGTAAGTCCTATGGTCTCCTCTCCAATACTCGATGTACACCAACCATGGATTATGGTGCACCAGATTGGAACTTGCCTCCAAGCCACAGGATGGAACTGGAAATTTGAGAATAGATTAGTGAAAGTTTCTGTGTGAAATTGGGTGGAAATTCCAGTTAGATAAAGCATAGTTAAAATTTTTCTAAAATTACCAAATTTATTTTTGCCAAAATGCAATAATTTCAAAAGTTTAAAACAAAATTTCCAAATTAAAAAAAAATACTCACCACTTTTAATTTTAAAAGTCCAAACGCCTACGGCACATGTTAACAACAATAATAAACGAATCATAGATGCGATTAAAATTGCACCAAAAAATACGCAAATTATATTTTAAATAAATTAATATTCGCATAACGTTACTTCTAGTGGACTCAAGTTTCATTTATGCGTAATCCAAGCCTTGTTCCCTGCTTTTATGTGCCCTCTAATCTACAAGGAAAATGTACTACCACAACGCTGAAAAGTGACGACACAAAATCGGCTCGTCACTATTTGAAACTTTCGGAAGAAGAAAATAATTTTCGTTTTACAATTTTAAATCCTTTCAGAAAAGAGATAAGGTTAATAATAGATAAACTCAAGATCCCTGATATAGGAAAATAATTTGAAAAATTAAGAGCAATTTTCCTCGGGAACTATATTTATATCTTGTTTCAGGAAAAAAATACTGAATGAATTGTAACTTTTCGCCTGATCTTTATCTAATTATGATAAGATATTAAGAGTAAAAAAACAAAACTTATGAACCATTCAGATTCTATCTATTTCCTTGAAAGAAACTGAAGAAAGGCAACATACTTGAAATCTGACTACTTTCTTAAATACATCAGAAGACCAAAAGACCGCTTCTAAAAGACTATTGACCTTTCTTTCGCATATTTTCGTTACAGCTCCAAGAAAACCCAAATCATTTCAAGCCGGGAATCCTACATCTAAGCACTGATTTACGTCTACTAGGCCAGTCAAACGGACGAGTAAAGAACCTTTTGAGTCATTGTACTTACAGTATTAAGTCCACGAAGGGACTACCCGATACAAACGTCACTCGTTATTTGTAGGGGACATTCCATTTGAACGAAATACAGCGGCACACGGCCCGAGACTGAATCATAGTCATTCATAAAAGTGCCGTGTGCTATTTTGTTGAAATGGACAAAGGTGAAAAATGAATTTGTCATTATTTTAAATTAGGTTGATTATTGACGAAATCATGACGTGTGCCATCAGCTCTAGTCTTGTTGCGAAGGTCGTAAGGGTTGAAATGAAACGAATTACCGGTCCCAACCAAAATCTATGGATTAAAATTAATTTATTATGTTTTCTTTGTGAACAAAATAAACGAAGTTAGGGTTTAAACAAAAGATTTTCGTTTTAAAAAAGAAAAATAATACCTAAACAAAAATGGCATAAAAACATATTACTGAACTAAAAAATCACAAAACACACTATTATTTTAATTATCATTATTTAAGATACTTATAAACAATCTACTATTAAAGGTTATTGAATCATCGCACATTTTACTACGAAATCACAATATTGTGCAATACATTTTTGTTTTGTAATAGTTATAAAACATAAATATGATGTCATCTATAGAAGAATAATAACATAACTGACCTATTTACCAACCTTTATCCTATTATCAGAATTAAAAAAAAAACTGTGGTCTCTTAGTTTCTTCTTGAACTAGCCGGTTAGAAAATGCTAAATTCATCTGGCTTCATTTTGATGTTTTTTGGAGTAGGAAAATCATTCAATACTTCCTCTGCCAAGACTTCCTCTGTCTTGATGGAGGCAAGAGAGAGAGAGTGTCAGACTCTTACTGACTAAAAACCACCATGTTCCTCCTCCTACTTCAAACTAGCCCACTAGGCTGCTCGCAACTCCAGATTTCATTCCGGAGCTGACGTGTAATATTGCTAATTTATGAAACAATACTTGCGTTGGGTCAGGCCGTGTGTTTTATCCGAAACCCAGTTCCCGCTCTATTCTCAAAAAGGTCGGCAACGCACTTGCAAACTCCTTTGGTGTTCAAGCAGTTGTAGCCAAATGCCATTTACCTAGCGCTTGTCTACTTGTAGAGTAGAAACTAAATTATATGGGATTCACGAAAATTTTTACACTTCTCAGTGTTATCCCTTTTTTTTTTTTTTTTTTAAGGGGGGAAAATCATCGAATGACTACTCCCGCCTGGGTGAGGCGGAAGGGAGTGTTATCCCTATACATTTAGTTTTCTACTCTCTCTGTAGACAAGCGCTAAAGTGGCGTTTGGCTAAAGGCACTGGTGTCCATGGGTGACACCGATTACTTATTATCAGGTGATCCGTCTGCTCGTTTAAAGCCCCATCCAAAAAAGCTCCTCTAAATATGTTTGTTAGTACCTACCTATGTCTATTATATTTCACTTCCAATAGGTACAAGTTATAACATAACGAGTAATACTCTTTTAGCATTTCAAAATCTTTATCTATCTATCTATACATAATTATAATAAAATCGTAGGAAAGTGAAAACTGTGCATTGAATATTTTTTAAAAGAATGGTTGGTGTGGTGCTTATTCTACAACCCATATCGAAGAATGGTTTTGAAAAAATATGGTTTCTAGAATTTTTGTCTGTTTGTCTGTTTGTATGTCCGGGTTATACTCAAAAAGTACTGTATGGATTTACTTCAAATTTTGCATAAATATTACTAATAGGTCGGGTCAACATATAGGCTACATATTATCACGCTATCATCTACGTAGGAGGAGCTGTGAATCACTATTCCACGCGGACGAAGTAGGGCACAGCTAGTTAGAAATATTTAACGTCAAAATTATCCTGGAACAAAATTTAACCCGTAACATAAGTACCGTCATTATAGACACAATTAAAGAACAATAGATGTGCGGACACCGGTTTAAATAAGTAAAGTAGGATTGTCTATAAGAGGCCAACAGAGTAGATGACTAATTTTTATTTCCATGTCCGTCTAGTTGATTAGGTATTTTAAATCATTAGACACGTATTTTTTATTTTCTTATAGAAACGAATACTTTCGACAATATATTGATTTGAAATGACCGGTGACGTCACTTCTATGTCTATTATGTATTCCTAAACTTTGATTCGTTTTATCTAAGTATTGTTTTATTATACAACAAAATAAAAAAATACGTGTCTAATATTTTTTCATTACCTAACTTACGGATTAAATAGATTTTTAATTTTCATACCCTGTCATCATCCCAATTACATATGCCTATAACATCTTATGCAGCATCTAACCATTTAAAGGTGTAACTAATTTTATACCTGAAAAACCCAATTATTTTCCCGGTACATTAATAGTATTAATACGAACATAATTCACGCCAAATCTTGCACGTAGGTAACCTGTTACCTACAATTATAAACTGTATAGGGAAGAATTGCCTAATAAGGCATGTTATGAACTCATGACCCTTATAAAGGCAGTATTTTCCGGTATTTGTAATTAATTAATTGTTTCCATACCACTATTATACATTTATTTATTGTTTAGACTGCCTTGTTGGTCGAGTGGTCGCAAGTGCGACTGCCAGGTAAGGGGTTTCGGGTCCGATTTCCGGGTCGGACAAAGTATTACTGAGTTTTTCAAAATCTCAGTAGTAGCACAGAGTCTGAAATTGTGCCCGGTATATAGCAATAGGCTTACCCCCTATTACATGGGACTCATAACATTAATAGTGAAAAGTGGCTTTAAGTGCCGTAATGTGCACCTTTACCTACCCCTTCGGGAATAAAAGGCGTGATGATATGTATGTATGTAATCACTTTTGAGTGCATACTTGGACGCCGACCGCTCACGACGCCGTATTGAAAGCGTTATAACAAGCGTGGAACAAGAACAAACCAAGCTCATACACGTTCAAACAAGATTGCACTGGAAGTGAATTGTTTAAAACATTATGGCGACTAGTTACAATTATGTACTTACCTATTTCTGTGTTTTATAATATAATGTGTGTTATGATTTACATCTCGACGCGTGAGAGTCGGTATTTTGCAATCCTTCTACCCTTTAAGGGGGAAAATCATCGAATGACTGCTCCCGCCTGGGTGAGGCGGGAGGAAGTGTCAGACTCTTACTGACTAAAAACCACCCCGTTCCTTCTCCTGCACTTCGAGCCGGAACCCCGGTTACCCGTTAGGTTATCCGCGACATCCTTCCACCGTACAAGGAAGAAGAGGATCGCGTTCCCTGTCTACATAGATAATATTCTCCAAAACTTTACTCAGGATGATTGTGTGAGGTGTGATAAGGGGTCTGCTAAACCACCTGGTATATATTATAATAGTCTGGCGAATTAGAGATCTTGATTTAGATTGGTTTTGTGTGGGAGAGCCATGCTTTGGCACAAATGGGCTCGACCAGAGTGATACCACGGCCTCACAAAAAACCGACGTGAAACAACGCTTGCGTTGTGTTTCGTCGCGTGAGTGAGGCTACTGGAGGCCCAATTACCTAATCTCCCCAATCCCTAAATCCCCAATGATCCTCAAACTCCTAATTCCCATACGCCGATAACGCACTTGTGACGCCTCTGGTGTTCCAGGTGTTCATGGTCGATGCTGATTGCTTACCATCAGGTGGTCTGCTCGTTTACCGGCTTATACCATAAAAAAATATTGTTAATAGGCTCGTCTCTTTTAATAAGCATTTAGGATAGCTGATCATCCTACTACTTCTTTGATCTAGTGATCATCACAACCACTATAGTCAAATTTCTTTCCAGAATTTCAATGGAATGGAATTGTGCCCGGTATATGGCAACAGGCTCACACAGGCCTATTACATGGGACTCATAACTTAAATAGTGAAAAGTGGGTGCTATATTATACAGTGGCATTAAGTGCCGTATGTGCACCTCTGTTATGTACCTACCTCCTATGTTATGTACCTATGTCTTTGGAGTATTTTTTTCGAGTGTCTAATATTCTCTTACAAGATACTCTTAACACATAACTGGAACTGTTAATGGTACACTAGACAAAAATATAAGCAGTTTGTAGTTGACCAACAAAACAAAACTATATCAGGGTTCTTATACTTAAAAAAATAAAATATCAAATATTCTTATGATTCGCTATTTATTGTCTTTTTGTAATTTTTTGTTCTCGTTGTTGTTTTTTTTTTCATTTTAATTGATTCACAATTTATTAAGGCACATTTCTTTATTTACTATGTTAGGTAATTACTGTTAAGTACATTTTAAACGTCAAAACAAATACATTTATAATGCACAAAACATTTAAAATTTTAAACACAAAAATTTTAACAAGCCAACTATTTTAAAAGTACCGAGAAAGTCGAAAATGTATTTAAGTAAAAACTTTTTTCAATATATTTAGTTATGCGATTTAAAAAAAGTTTAAAAAAATTTAAAATGTTAAATTGTTACGACTTGCTCGCCACTTGTTGCGAAATTATTACTGATTCAATGTAAACTATTGTTATTTAAATATCATTATTAAACAAACCTTTATTACAAACAAAAAAATCTCATTTGTACTAATTGCTTTAGCAAACAATTGTTCTTTTATTTCTCTTAAACCGTTAACAAAATTGAAAAGTCGTTGCATACATGCAATAACATTTATTATGCAATTTTCTTTTCTTATTTTGTTTCCCTTACACATAATTATTATGGAACTTACAAAAACTAACTAGGTGAGAGAGGGTCTAGCTGTCTCCTTATAGGGTTAATAAACTTAATAAATAAATAAGTTATCTTATAATAAGTTGGTCCTTTAAGTACTAGGGAGTGGCAATCATGGCAAATGGGAATCAGACTTTCTCGTCAGTGGAAAATTACTATTACAATTAAAAGTGAATCTTATTATAAATACTATAAATATTAATATTACTTATATAAAAATGGTTTATTGCTAGGCACAGAATCAGACTAAAAAGTATTAAATAAAATAAATAATCGACATTAAAATGTACTTATTATTTTGTAAGACTTTCATGAGACATAATAAATTTATTATTATGGTTTTCGGCTTACTTATGTAATTATTTGACGAGGCTCATATTCATGAACAGCATTCTGCAACCCGCGATGCGGCAACTGTCGCACTGCACTCTAGCATGGCTTGAAACTAGTCGGGTTCCTCATCCAATCATTACGTGAATAAGCCGAAAAACATAATATATATTTTTTTAAGTTTAAAATTAAAGAGATCATTCGTCGTCAGTTTTCAAAATCTTATATCTATTGTTTTAATATTTACATAAACTCAAATGCCGTTAGACGATGCCTTAGTCGGTAAATTTCCACTTATTTAAGATTCGAGAACAGTTTTGATCCAGTCCAAATGATCGGCCACGCTAGTGTAAATTCCAGGAGAGTTTTTGGTGCCACAGTGGATATTGCCATGGCTAGTAACTCCCCAAAGCTCGATGGTGTCTTTCACTCGAGTTAAAGGACCACCAGAATCACCCCTACAGGTATCGATGCCCTCTTCACCTCCAGCACAGATCACGTTCTCCGGGATGTAATTGTACTGGTACACCTTTTGACACCTATCCCTATTCCAGTACGGTAGGGGAACGATTTTTTTCACGTGGCTAAAGACGTGTTTCTTGGGGATTTCACCCCAGCCGGCTGCGAAGAACTGGGTGTCTTCTTCGAGGTCACCAGAAGGCAGACAGATGGGCCGGATGAAATCTGCAAATAAGAATTTCATTGGTTAGTTATGATATGTTAAAACTATACTTATACTATATATATATTACTTATACTTATTCAATACAGGTGTGATGCAGCATAAATGTAGATTTAAAAGAAGTTTAAAATTTTTAAAACATGTACTTAATATTTGGACTGAACAAAGCTTTTATGTAATTTTTTTTATTTGAACAATCAAATTTAGAACTAAACCATAAAACATGTACATACCGGTATAAGGAGCTTCCTCCTCGAGCCTTAAGATTGCAATGTCATGTTCCCGGTTGCTGTAGTTAGGGTGCACGATGATATCAGCCACGTTGATTCTGACGATGGGGTCGGCACAAACTCCGTGAACGCAGTCCTCCTTAGAATATACGTCGTATTCGCCAAGACGAGCGACTAAACTGTAAAGATAAGAAAAAAATTAAGTAAGATATTATTCCAATTTAGATATATTAATTTAAACTAAACAAAAACTTTAAATCAACATTTTAAACTTTTTTAAACTCTAATAAATTTCTGTACATATGAACTTTTTAGTTTTGATACATACCGACTGAACTTCAGAGTCCTAACGCAGTGGGCAGCGGTGACGACATGTTTGCTGTCGATCAAGGTACCGGCGCATCGGATTTCAGTATCCGAATTTCCACGCCAATACTCGATATAGACCAGCCAAGGATTGTGATGAACCAGATTGGTACTGGCTTCCACGCCACATTTGTTGGCTTCAACTGTAACCAACAAAAAACAAAGTTTAAAATTTTTGAAAAAATATTAAAAATGTTACTTTAAAGCTATGCCGTGCCTACTTTGGTAATAAATTATTGCATTACTTCTTTGAATTATATTTCGATTATAAAAGTAAATTATAATTACTTTTCCTGTTTCTATTTATAAGTTTGGGAAGTATTTTATGTGGATGTATTTAATAACTGTAAAATTAGACCATAAATCATTTCATGAATGAATTCGCATAAAAGTTAGGTATTTACCCGATTTTATGAATGAACTTGTTTACACTCAACTTTGACCTTCGTTCATTCATAAAACCGTAGTTGTTTACTTGGCAAATGATTGCCAGAAACTTTATTAGCAATTAAATATTTTATATAATAGGCGTTTAGTAATTTATCCTCATGCTCTGGTTATACTGACATAAATGACGTATGAAGCGCTTAGACTTTATGGTGGGATAGTCCACTGTTCTACGCACTGGATGCTTGTTTGTAGTTTTGCATTACTGTTTCTCAATCTTTATCTTATGCTAATTGTATACATCATGCCACGCCTTTATGATACATTAAGAGTGAAAAAGGCAGAGACTCATATATACAGTGATACACCGAGATTTGACTATTTATCTAGTTGCTTCTACTGCTATATTTGAGCCCATTCCATCCGTGCTATTGATGAGTTAAGAAAAACTCTTTTCTGGACACGACAATCTAATTGTTAAGCATTTACTCAAAACTCCCACTTATAACGTATATCCATAAAATACTATTTATACAAAACATGTTATTGTATAACAATTGTTTAAATAGAAAAAACCCAGAAAATTTATAGCAAATTAAGTTCTCTGTAGGCACTAAGAATGTAGCATGCACATTGTCCATGATCAGACAACCATCTACTTAATCCCATGCAAATATGAACCTTACGGCTTTAATTACTCAGTGGTTTTTCTTTTCTACGGACGTGCAGGACGATTTATTGGGATTATATAGTTATAAGGAAAACGTGTGGCATAACATAATTAAATTGACCACTCACGTACGTCATTGGTTGGAGGAAATTAGTAGAAACATTGTAGCGGGAATCACAATAACCAATATTATTGTGCGTAAGAGCCTTCATATGAAATGCAAAAATAACTTGATATCTCTCTACATACGTAAGCTATTTATAAAGTCTAAGCTCAGGCGTTTAATTCGTCAAGTTAACCAAGCAATCACGATCTATAGTATTGAGACCACTTAATATACTTAAGCCATTGTAACAGGAAAACGATTTACAAATTTGATTACATTAAGCCAATTATAAATGTATTTATTAAACATGCAAAAAGTTATACAGAAAATAACTATTTGTCATGCGCTTAGGACTATTTGAACAATCATTTAATTTTCATAGTGATAATAATAATGCGATTTGATTACATCGGTAATTCAATACTTGATTACAAAATTTTTATTTATTGAGTACAATTCGATTTACGTCAGCAAGTAATCGGGTAAAAGTTTAAAAAGTAAGTTTATTCTATTTAAAATGTTTTAAACTCTTAACTGTCATGCGCGTACGGCTATTTGGAGAAAGAACTTTTTGAATACTTCTTTTTATAATATTTTTTTAGCATTAATCTCAAATTAAAAACAAAACCTTGGTAAAAAATGTATGTCATTACAAGTTTAAGTCAAATAGTTTAAAACAATGAAATGGAATTGGACAGAATTAATAAATATTCGTCTATTTGTCTTACTCTGAATTAAATTACTGAACTTATTAAAAAATAATGCCTATCACATAGATTGTAATGTGGTTTAAGCAGGACTATACTTTACTATAGATAGTCTAAATCTACGGTAATCTAGATTCTTTAGCACCAATATCTATCATTAAACTACTCAAATTGGAACAAAATCACTAATTCATTAGGTAATCGAAGTATTGGTTATCTAACTCTATCACTATTTTAAGTTTAAAAAAACTTTTAAACCTTACCTTTACTCCACGGGTTCAAAATCGCGCTTTTCACTTCAGCGACGGCAACACACAAAAGCACAAACACAAATAACGCCATTTTTAAATTCTTTTCGAAAATTCTACTGCATTGAGATTTAGGAACTATTTTATCCTGACCTTAAAAAGGTTTTAGGACTAGATTGTCGGTTCAACTGCAAGGTTCGTACCTTGTATAGTTGACCGCACAACCCGAGGTGCGTACAGCGAATGAGCTCAACTCGAATTTTCATTCATATTTCAACCGACTGGAGTAAAGTATACTGTTATTTTCCTTATACAAGTAAATCACATACGTACAATGAAATAATCATCAAACCAGGCAAAAACACGTTACAGTTATTAGAAAAAATGTTATGTAACTTCTTTCTGTCTTTTTAATGCACAACACACGAGTTTTAAAAAGTTTAAATTTTTTTAAACTTTAATTTTTTTTTAAACTTTAAATTTTTTTTGAACCTTTGAAATTTCCGAAAATGTCGCGAAAATATTTTATTATTAATAAAGCTTTTTAGCACTTTCACTCAAGTTTCAATCTTTTAGAACACATTTGAATGCTACAACGTCCAGGGAGTAACTGATGGTTGGGAAGCCAAAGTATAAGTACTATAGTATGGCTGAAAAACAAAAACAAAATATTATAACAACACTAACTACGTAGGTGCGAAACCATAGACAAACAAGTAAGTAATGTGATTTCATAATATAATTAAAATATTCTTTAACCTAATGATGAAACCCGTGTAGTTATCAGCTCTCACCATTTTCCTTAAATCATTTTATTACTAAAGGTAGGATACCATTGTTATTGGTTCTGGGAAAAGAATTGCCCATAGTCAATCAGCAATTCTCATAACCTGCAAATAAATTAGATATCATTAGTTGAGGGAAAATTTGAAATTGGATTAATAATTTTAAATAATTGTTATTGAAAAGTTTAAAATAAATTTAAATTACAATCTTTTTGAAACCAACCGTCATGTCAGTGCGACTTAGAATTAATGGGATCATGCAAACTAAACATCTCAGCTCAATCGATTGCAGATACCTACTTCAAATTTTTGTATCTAAATTTCGATTCACACACATGTATGTACATTGTACATACATTGGAAATTAAATTCGTAAATATGTACTTAAATTACATTCGTTACAACGTGTGAGAAAAGTGCTTCGACATGAACTGGGTGCTTACTCTTGAAACCAATCTCAATGTCAATGCAATTTCTCTCCAATTAAATCTCAATAATTATTCAATGTTAAAACTGTACAACCCCTTTAGTAGCTGTTGAAATATCATTCGGAGTATGGAATATAAAGCCAAACTCAATACCATTTAGTTCATTCAATATTCACGCAATATGGATGCAATGGGCGCTAGTGTTGCAACTCAAAAGTACGAAAATTCACAATACCAATGTCGATCGATCGAAATTGGAGTCAAGAGTAAGCCCGCAGGTCGGACGTTAACAGAAGTGGTACCAAGATCGCAGCTGAAATCTATGAAACAACGCTTGCAATGTATTTCGCTATTTCGGGATTATGGTAACCGGAGAATAATTTGTTAAAATTGCTATATATCCTTCCTTTTTCATAGGATAAGCCGGTAAACGAGCAAATGGATCACCTTATGGTAAGCAATCAACGTCGCCCAAAACACCAGAGGTGTTACAAGTGAGTTACCGGCCTTTTGGGCATTACGAATTTGAGGACTGTTGGGAATTCAAGGATTGGGGAGATTGGGGAAGGAGGGGATAATTGGGCCTCCGGTAACCTCACTCACATGATGAAGAACAACGACAAGTGTTGTTTCACGTCGGTTTTCTAATCGGCCGTGGTATCACGCCAGTCGAGCCGGCCCATTTGTGCTGAAGCATGGCCCTCCCACACTTCAATTCTCCTACAAGGCCGGTGATCCTCTAAATCCACTAATGTTTATGGGTAGAGCCGATTGCCCACCATCAGGTGATCGGTGAGCTTGTAGCGCGGCAGCCGTATATTATAAAAAAAATATAGCCATTAAACAAAACATAAGGGGAGCCCTACAATTTGTCCTGTTTGTAATAATGTCGAAGTGCCCGGTATATGACAATAGGCTTACGCCCTATTACATGGGACTAATAACATAAATAGTGAAAAGTGGGTACATTGTTTAGTAGCATAAAGTGCACCTCTGCCTACCCCTTCGGGGATAAAAGGCGTTATGTTATGTTATGTGCCACACATTTTTTTAAATCTCAAATAATAATTTAGATAATGAAACTACCTTCTGCCTACAACTTCGCTCGCGTTCCCGTGGAATAAAAAAAACCTTTGTTATTTCAGATCATGATCTACCCCTGATTCCATTATACGATACGATACGGATACGGAACCGCGGAGAACTTACCGGGTCACCGGGGCTCCGGCTCAAAGAGCAGGAGAAGGAACGGGGTGGTTTTTAGTCAGTAAGAGTCTGACACTCCCTCCCGCCTCACTCGGGCGTGACAAGTCATTCAATGATTGTCCCCCCTTAAAAAACCCTGTTTCCATCCCCATCCCTTCAGCCGTTTTGACATGAAGGAATTACAAACAATCATACAAACTTCCGTAGGTATATATAATACTAGGTTTTACCCGCGGCTTCGCTCGCGTCACAAAAGGATAAAAGTAGCCTATACCAATACACGCAGCACCATCTATACCAATACTTTTGTTTTCCCTCGGGAATATCAAACTTTTCCGGGATAAAAAGTACCCTATTATTTAATCCGGACTTCTAATTTTACGTCTACAAAAAATCAAAGCAATCGGTTTAGAAGTTACAGCGTGAAAGCGGAACAAACAAACTCACTTTTCCATTTATAATAGTAATAAGGATTAGTAGGATCTGAAAGTGTTTCTCCAATCTACGTCCAGCAACTTCCTATGACCTTCGTCAGATCGTCTGTCCACCAAATTGAATCACTTTTATTTAAATTTTATTGTTTCTTCGTAAAATATTAAAATATCGTACGATTAAACTATTTAAATTCCATCGTACAGATAGATATTCTTGAACAGGAAAACATTTTAACTTAATGGTAATAATAACGGTTGATATGTTAATTTATTAACAAATGTTATATATGTTTCTAATACTTAATATTACTTGTTACTTCAATTGCTGTCTAATTATTTAATAATTAGACAGCAATTAGACAGAGATTATTAAATAATCTCTTGTCCTATAGGGCTTTTCAATAAAACTTCCACTGCGTATGTTCTCACTCTGTATTTTTTTCAATCATTCTTCTCAACGACCATTCACCTTTCCCTCGTCCCACAAATTGCCGCCATAAATCTCTGCTTTTCCACGTCTCTTTTTTCCAAACCTAAAACCGCTTCTTTTTTTTCGGTGTTGCCATGTTAAAAATGTTACCCGATTCAATTCCTCAAACTCCTCAACTCCTCTACAAATGTAACTCAACTTTTTACCTGTAAATCTATTGTTTTCACCATATTTTTTTTATAGGTAGTATTATCTTGCCTTAGCCTCCCAAAACCGCAATCCGAGCGTACGGCGCGTCGTGTTCCGCGCGCGCCTCAAAGAGCCATCAGACCGCCACGGATGGGGCCCAACAGGCCTAATGCCGATTCAGAGTCGCGGAGAACCTAACGGGTTACCGGGGCTTCGGCTCGAAACGCAGGAGTAGGAACGGGGTGGTTTTTAGTCAGTAAGAGTCTGATACTCCCTCCCGCTCCACCCAGGCGGGAAAAGTAATTCGATGATTGTCCCCCCTTAAAAAAAGCCTCCCAAAACCGATGCAACTCCTAGTGCAAATAATGCCCACCATTAGGGTTAAAGACCTATATAGCTACCTAGTTAACAAACATGACTTTAGTTCATCGAAACTTTTAACAATTATGTTTTCCGATTCAGGCATTCTCAGTACGTAATCACATGCACGGAGTCTGGAATTGTTCTTTACGTTAGAATTTTAATATGACTAACAAATCCTGTAGAAAAGGGCGGGCTGTTGTGATGTCATGTTACATTTGCGTAAAGACAATATCAAGTAAATGTGTATTTAGAACATATTTCGTAACGTAATGACGTGCGAATGAAGGCAGATCGATTTGTTTACAAACAATTACTAGAATTAATTTTGTGTACTGTTTAGCAGTACGTATAATAAACAACCAGAAAATACGTAATCGTAAACACTGGATTTTCATAATCATCATCGTCAACAGCCCATAAATGCCCACTGCTGACCAAAGGCCTCTTCTTAGATGAAGAAAGTTTGAACATTTATAATCACCATGCTTGTTTAACTCGTCGAGTACCGGTTTTATAGACACAATTAAAGAACAATAGGTCGCGGTCACCGGTGACCGCTTGGTATTTGACAGTTTAATGCGGGTTGGCGATTTCAAACTTATAATTGGAAATTATATACCCAGGTTCCCTCGCAATGTTTTCCTTCACCGTTTATCGGTGGTGTCTAGATAATCTTAGAAAGTACATATAACTTGGAAAACGTCACAATGGTACTTGTCGTTGGTAGTTTTCGAACCGCAATTTAATGCATGAGACGCGGGCGTCTTAAACCTGGCCACCACGACATTGGATTTTTTAACTTTTTTTTATATTAGATGGGACTGACGTTTGACCACTATCTCGCCTGGTGGTAAGCGATGATGCGGTCTACGATGGTGCACGTCGACCCATAAGCGACCTATTCACTCAGGCCTTAAAGACAGGAAATACAGACTCTGGCAAAGAATTCCACTCCTTAGCAGTACGCACAAGGAGTGTTAATGTTATTGACTTAATTTTATTGACTTTAAGTCATAAATGCAAGAAGCATTGATTTCGATTTTTAGGAGATAAGTCTGTAAAGGAGCAGACAGATCACCTGATGGTAAGCAATCGGTGTCGCCTGTGGACATCCGGAATACCAGAGGCGTTACAAGTGCTTTACCGGCGTTTTGGGGATTAGGAATTTAAGGATTGTAAGGGATTCAGGGTTTGGGAAGATTGGGGAGGGGTAATTGGGCATTTTCGATTCTCAGATCTTAATTTAAATACTTTCAGTT